CCGATGTTCTGCGGGAGCAGGTGGGATTGAAATTGACACAATGTAAACATGTAGCAACAGGCATTTTCAAATTATGTCAAAAATTGAAAAACAACAAAAATGGAGATACGAGGTTTTTTTCCGACAACATATACATGTGTATATATGTATGAATACACACACAATTGCACATGTATCTAATTGCATGTATGCATTACATTTTTATTATATATAAAATCCCAATTTGGAAGAGTACAATATTCAAATCAAAAGAGTTGCAATTTTGATTATATTCTAGATTATTTAATGCTGTCTTGTATTTAAATCACAATCGCATTACTGGTCAGAAAATCACAATTAGGTATTTTCCCCAGATCGTTCAGCCCTAAATCTGATGAGGCTTATTTGAGCAAATAAGACAAATGTGACAAATTGTGATTAACTATGCAAAATAATGTGATTAAATGGCATTCATTATTTTAATTGTTTAACAGTCCTATTCTCTCTCTCTCTCTCTCTCTCTCTGTGGAGGAGTAATGCTGAGTGCTTTCTCTTTGACTTCAGTGCCTCAGAACTGGAGCGCAGTGTTCTCCTCATTAGCATATACGCTCTCAGAGTGATTAACGAGGTGAGCAGAGGGACTCGTGGGATTTGTAGTTCACGTAATAGAAACAGCAGCAGCTGGACTGTTTCAGACCAGTGGACTGTCTGTGAGGGTTTGGACACGGCAGAACTCTGAGGGGTCAAGATCAGGAGAACAGCCAGAAGGTCCAGTGTGAGAACACGACAGACAAACAACTGGAGCCCACACACCTGAGCTCGCACCTGAGCCTGTCAGAGGGAATCAGTCAAATGGGAATGCTGTGGAATCCCCAAAAACAACAAACGTCACTTACAGGCTACCTGATCAATCAAAGTTATAACTGAATGCAGAAATTAATTATGTAATCATGTGCAAAAGTTTGAACACCCCCTGGCCAAATGACAGGTTGATTTTCTAAGTGTAAATAAGTTACACATCCTCTACAGAGACTCACTACTGTACATTTTAATACACACTTACTGTTTATTTACTGAACTGAATATGTAATATAATGGTAAATTCAAAGACTGTCCTACTAAATCTTACTACAATGCCCAACAAGTTCTAGATATGAACTGGGTAAGTATGAGGTACAAACCCCATAGTACTAGGTAATGTACTAGGTAATTTTTGGGCAATATGATAATAATGTCCAATTTCAGTCTAAATTACACCAAATGCCCAACAGGCTCTAGATATGAACTGAGTATATGTGCAGTACAAACTCCAAAGTTCTAGATAATGTTTTTGGGTAATATGATGGTAAGTTCCATGGACAGTCCTACTAAATTATACTGAAATGCACAACAAGTTCTAGATATGAACTGGGTAAGTATGAGGTACAAACCCCATAGTACTAGGTAATTTTGTTTGGGCAATATGATGGTAATTTCCAAACAGTCTAAATTACACCAAATGCCCCGCATGTTCTAGATATTAACTGATTAAATGTGCAGTACAAACTCCAAAGTTCTAGATAATGTTTTTGGGTAATATGATGGTAAGTTCCAAGACAGTGCCGCCAAATTATACTGAAATGCCCAACAAGTTCTAGATATGACCTGGGTAAGTGTGAGGTTCAAACTCCAGTGGTAGGTAAGTACTAGGTAATTTTGGGGTAATATGGTGGTAAATTCCAACCAGTGTAAATTACACTGAAATGCCCAACAAGTTCTAGATATTAACTGGCTAAGTCTGTATATATTCACCCTTTTTTGTTTCCTTTAAATGAGACCAAGATTATGACTATATCTATAAGGTATGTGTGAACAGTGCCCCCTTTTACTTCGGGTACGCTGTTTCAGGCAAAAACGGGGCGACAGTTAACAGGATAAAAAATAATAAAGCTTTTAATTATTTCCTAGAGAGTTGAGAAAAAAGGAAAAGTGGGAAGCAAATAGTAAACATAGCCAATAAATGATAAATGTAGTAGCTCACTTTCTGACTAGTTTCTGCAATCAGTTATACGTTGAGTAAAGAGGAATTCCACCGATTTCCCATGTTTTCCATGATTCAATGCTTGAGATGTTAACAAAATCATTCAGAGTGGTTTGTTCATGGTAGATGATTCCAGCGCTGAACTAAAGAAGCAAGATTTGGGTTCCAAACACGTCTTGTCTGACTGACCATATCTAAGACAAGTAAACGTGTTTTTCAGCCAAAGCGTTTCTCTAACAGTGAAATGATCCATCATTAGCATAAGCGAACAGTTTATGCAGTTGAAAGTGAGCAGCAAATATGGATTCTCACATCTGGATTCTTTTCTTCATCAGCTTTTGAAAAAATGTTAGAATGTTAGTATGTGTGAATTATTATTGTTTGCAACTAATACAATTATCTAGAACTTAGTTTTGTTCTGAAATGTATGCTGTTTTTATCAAACATGTTGGTTTCTATGGACTGTTGTAACCGCAGAGCTGCTAAATGGCCGTCAACATTATTACACTGCAGTAATTTAGCCATGAGCGGCAATTATAGGGGCCCAAGCACCAGTATTGGGAAATTTATAGAGACTTGTGATTCAGTGTAGAACACAAATGATGGTCAGTCAGAGTGTTAGAATGACCTTGACTATGTTCTCAAAAGAACATTTTGGAAAAATGTTTGTACTGATCTTCTCTGACTGGTATTGTAAGCAAAAGCTGTTTAGCAAATAAGTCAGAATACATAGAAAGCGCATCAGTTTCTGACATATTTTATTGTATTTTAGTCTCAGAGGGCAGAACAATGCTTAGCTTTCATTAAGATTTTCTCCTGGTGGACAGCACTTGAGCGCCTGGGAGTTGGGGGTAATTTGATTGGTTTCTGGACTTGTCACATTTTTCATACCTCATGGGTTTGAATGGCTGAGAAAGCACTATACAAACAAAACTGAACAGTATTGAGTTTTGAGGCCTGCTGACCGCTTCCAAATACAAAGCTGACCAGTCTGCTGGGGTTTACCTCGCTGAGGGTCAGCAGCACTGGCCATATGGACCTTTAGCTGCTGTGGTCTGCTCGAGATACTAAGTTTCTTTTCCATGACCCAGATCCCAGAGAGTGGGGAAGAGTGCTGAGCGATAAAAGCATTTTTATTTGTACTGCGATAAAGTTTTCTTCGACAACTTGGCCGTGTTCTTGTCTACATTTTGCTTATTATGTCACATTGAGTGGAGCAGGGAATTAATCATTCAGCAGCAGCGGGAAACTGGAGCGAAAATGCGTGGTGTGCCGCCATGTCAACGTTTGAAAGCATTAATACCACAACAAAGCATTAAAAATACCAAACACCACATCAAAGAAAGAGAAACAGCAGCTGGAAGATTACTGAACATTATATCCACAACACTGAAGGTAAGACCCAGCACACTACTTAGTCTAAGTTAGCCTTGTTTGCTAGCTATCATTAATGCTATAGACAGTAGGCAACAATACTAAAGTTGTTAGATGAGAAATCAGTGCCTTGTTTTTTAAATTCATAATAAAATGTGGTCAGAGGAGCCATGATTAGGTGGTAATAGCCTGAAATGCTATGTTGTATTTGCTGATTCTTATCGTTGCTGTCTAAAGAAAAAACTCCAAAATGTGAACTTTAAAGGTAAAGACAGTTTTTGCTCTCTCCTGTAATGTAAGGTAATGTAAAGATATTTTATTTGAAGCAATTTTGAAGCGTTTCTAATGGTCCATTCATCACAAACCTTCACAGAATGTAAAGGGCAGCTGATTTTCTTAAATTATGTCAAAAAATGAAAAACGACAAAAAAGAGACTCTTGGGTTTTTTTGGATGGCGACGATTTACTACTTATATGACAGATGACCCAGCCAACGTTGCTTGTCTGACAATCTAATTTTTTTCGCAACCTGCACACAGATTAAGTGTTGAGGCCTGTGTGATAAGCAGATAACAATAATCATCAAAATTAGAAGCTTTTTCAATACAATTACTGCACACATATTTTCACAATCCAGTTTTACCAGCAAAGCCTTAAAATTTGTTTAGCTGCTACATCAGCACACTAGGTGGCGCTCCGTATCTCCTTATCGCCAGACAGAGAGGGAGAAGAAGTCTATCTGTTCACTCACAACAGCACAAGCCAGTGGGACAATAAACATAGTTAGCTAGAATTAGCTGTTATCAGCATTGGAATTATATTTGAACTACAGAGTTAAATTATATTATTGGAAAATTTCTAATGATTCATTCATCACGAAATTTTCATACAATGTAAAGCGCAGATAGTTTTACTAAATTATATCAAAAAAATGAAAAACAATGTCTCAGAACAAGAAAAGATGCTTTAAATGTAGGTATTGTGATATAAACTGAGTCTGTTCTCTAAATGTAGGTATTGTGATATAAACTGTTCTTAAAAGTCTGTTCTACAGTTTCTCATTAGACTGAATGAATAACTGGCTCTAAATGTAGGTATTGTGATATAAACTGAGTCTGTTCTACAGTTTCTCATTAGGTTGAATGAATAACTGACTCTAAATGTAGGTATTGTGATATAAACTGAGTCTGTTCTACAGTTTCTCATTAGGTTGAATGAATAACCGACTCTAAATGTAGGTATTGTGATATAAACTGAGTCTGTTCTACAGTTTCTCATTAGGCTGAATGAATAACCGACTCTAAATGTAAGTATTGTGATATAAACCGAGTCTGTTCTACAGTTTCTCATTAGGCTGAATGAATAACCGACTCTAAATGTAGGTATTGTGATATAAACTGAGTCTGTTCTACAGTTTCTCATTAGGCTGAATGAATAACCGACTCTAAATGTAGGTATTTTGATATAAACCGAGTCTGTTCTACAGTTTCTCATTAGGCTGAATGAATAACTGACTCTAAATGTAGGTATTGTGATATAAACTGAGTCTGTTCTACAGTTTTGACCGTATCACCCAGGCGTAGTTCTCATACCTGCTCATAGCTTATAAACAGACTGCAGCTCATACCTGAGAGTTTTGGTGGTCATGTCGGCCGCGGTGATGCCGTGATAAACCAGCGTCTCGTTCCACACCGGATTCAATGTGTTTTTCAGGGTTTTAGTGCGCAATTTATTCGCCTGATGGAGAGAAAGAGAGAGAGCGTCAGAGAGAGAGAGAGAGAGAGAGAGCGAGCGAGAGAGAGAGAGAAAGAGAGAGAGAGAGAGAGAGAGAGAGAGCTCAATTCATGCTACCAGTCATTACTTTGAGTAACATTGTCCATTGTTTCTTTTATGTGTGTTTATGTTAATTACTCTGGCCTTAATGTAACCTCTGAGGCTTCTGCCAATAAAGCACTGAACTGAAACACACACAGAGAGAGAGAGAGAGAGAGAGAGAGAGAGAGAGAGAGAGAGAATGTAAACAGATTAATGGACTGAATGTGTAAAGGAGAGAAATCCTGACATTTTTAATGAAATTAAATTCAGAAGAAGCAAAATAAGAGCTCAGCTACCAGCATTCTTAAAAACATTCTAATATTTAATGTTAATGTTATATTTGATGTTAATTAATATTAATTATTTAAAAAACATTACTTTTTTGGTCAATTGGCTGCTAAAACCTTCATGTTGTGGTTTCTGTTAAATAAACCACAACAAGAAGTTTACAGCAGACAAGCTGTCCCTATTCAACTGTAGCTCAAGAAAAAAATTTGCGTAAAGCGAATTCTGTCCAAATCCGACCGTAGCTGACAGAACTCTGTACACAGCTGGAGCTCTACTCCTTTACAAAAAAACCACAGGATTCCTGCTGAAGATTTGAAGGTAAAACCTGCAGGAAAAATGTGAAGGATATTTCTGAAGGAATATAATCCTATAGGATTTTCAGCGCTCATTTTCCTGAGGGATTCCTAACGGAGTAATGCTGCACAATTGTTATGGAAATTCTTCGATCTTCCTTCACAATTTCCTGCAGGTCACTTTGAAAAAAACCACAGGAAAAACACATTTCTGAAGGATTTCTGGAGCAGCTGGAATGAGACATTACAAGAATAAATGCTTAAAAAAGCAGATCCCCTTAAGTCATCTAGCCAGACAGTGACAGTGCAGTCTCTAATAATAATAATAATAATAATATAATAATAATAATAATAATAATAAATAATAATAATCATTATCATCATCATCATCATCATATCATCTTTGTTTATATAGCACCTTTAATACATTAAAGATGCAGCTCAAAGTGCTTTACACGCAAAGTAAAAACAACATAGAAAGAAGAGGCAAAAATAGAAAAAACAAACAATAAAAAATCCAACAAATCAAAGCAATACTAGAAACGGGGCTGCATTAATAAATAAAACAGGCCACTCATCGTGTCGAGAGCGTCTCAGACTGAGCATTCATCACTTATTTCTGTGTGTTGTTTGCTGAATTCCACTGTGACTAAAGCCAGACACTGCAGCTGTGATCAGGAGAGATCACCTGAGCCAGGTGAGGCCATCACTGCACGGCAGTGGAGAAGCTTGTCTATTAGAACTAGGCTTTCAGTAAAACAGGAAGAAAGAGACGGCTCCCGACTCAACTCGGACTCGAGAAATTCCAGCCTAAGGAAAAAGAATGAACAAAACTTGTTATACTCGGCTTAGACTTAAACCCCAGAGACTCCAGACTCGACTGGACTTGAGACTCGACTCAGACTTGAATCCCAAAGACTGAAGACTTGACTAAGATTTGCACCCCAGAGATACGACTCGGAATTGAACCCCAGAGACTTGAGACTCGACTCAGACTTGAATCCCAGAGACTTGAGACTTGACTTGGACTTGAACTCCAGAGACTCCAGACTCGATTTAGATTTGAACCCCAGAGACTCAAGCCTTGGCTAAGATTTGCACCCCAGAGACACAACTCGGAATTGAACCCCAGAGACTCAAGACTCCACTCAAACTTGAACAGCAGAGACTTGAGACTCAACTCGGACTTGAACCTTAGAGACTCCAGATTCGACCAAGACTCACATCCAACAGACTGAAGACTAGACTCAGAATTGAACCCCAGAGACTCAAGACTTGACTATGATTTGCACCCCAGAGACATGACTCAGAATTGAACCCCAGGGACTGAAGACTAGACTTAGACTTGAACCCCATAGATTCTAGACTCGACTCAGACTTGAACCCCAGAGACTCTAGAGGTGATGTGGATTTCAACCACAGAGACTCAAGACGCAACTAAGATTTGCATCTCAGAGACTCAAGACTTGACTCCGACTTCAACCACAGAGACTCTAGGCTCGACTAAGACTTGCACCTTGGAGACTCTAGACTTTACTCGGACTTGAACTCCAGAGACTGAAGACTAGACTTGGACTTGAACCCCAGACACTTGAGACTCAACAAAGACTTGAACCTCATAAACTCAATTTGGACTTACATCTTATAGACTTGACTCAGACTTGCACCACATAGACTCAAAACTCGATCTGGACTCAGATTCCAGAGACTTGAGACTTGACTCAAATCCAC